ATACATATATACAATATACTATCAATTTATATATTATTAGTTTAAACATATAATATTAATATTAACAAGTTAGTCTCCATTAAATAATATATATATATATATATATATATATATCAGTAAGGATAATTCTAATGTTTGATATACTTTTTTCTTATATATGAGTTGATTTTAATTTGTAATGTATAATTATATAAACAATGCAAATTAAATATTCTGGGCAGCTTCTTTCCTATATCTAAGGCATCGTGGATTAAGAGAATTATGCGATTAAGGTTACATTGACGTCTAATCAGAGACGATCCTATACAAAATCTTTGCTTGGTCACCATCTCGTTTTACCAACAAAGTCTATGAAATAATTATTAGACAGTTTAATTGATATTAAAGTTTATTAGATCATATATTAGAAAAGATTCTATCTGTTAACATTATACTCATTTTGATACTTTTTTAACTTAAAAAGTAGTATTTACTTATTGATCCAAAAATACTCTTAATGTAAAAAACAAATAAAAATTAAAATGAGGGATCGATCGTATATCTAAGCAATATAGGCTTCCCGAAAATGCAAAGGGGATTTCCATCCTTACATTAGATTGCTTTAATTTTTATGAAAAATAAAAACTTTAGTTTACTAACTTTGTATCCTTTAGATATAAATTGTATTTGCACGCTTGTGTATATTCTATTATAGTTTTTATTCCAGACTTCTTATTATATGATACTACCAACACACTATTTTAATTTTCATCCTAACTATGTATATTCAATTCCTCACTATATATACAGAAATGACTTTATAAAAAATGTATTTTAATATTTTAACACTTTGAAATTAATTTGTAATTGTCAACTAAATTTTTTTTTTTTGATATATACAAAAGGTTATAATATTCTTACAATAATTTTTTATAATATTATTTTTATTTTTCTTTATCACATTACTCGTTTTATTATTTCAATTAAATTCATTTTAAATTTTAAAATATAATTAAAATGTATACTTACATTGATTATATCATAAATTTCACATTACAATTATACAGTGCGAAAAAAGAATTTGAAATACAGCTCAATTAGAATCTTACATGCATGATCACTGATGAGTCACGGCAATTGAAATAAAAATAAATAAATAAATGGTTAAAAAAGAAAATAATAAAAATGCACGAATGGTGGGGATGGGCATGAAGCAAGCTGACCAGGTGCTGCAGGGAGGCATAGGCTCATCCCCTAAGCCCTACCCATGGACTTTGCAGGGTGCATACGTGGCAAATTAAAGGGTGAATGATTGGTTTGAAGATTGAAGGGTGATGGCAGGCCTGTCTCAGGCTCAGGCCTGGGCCTGCTACTGGGTTTCGTAAGCCCGAGCCCCGAGGCTTGTGTCGGGACTCAGAATTAGAATGTGGGTCCCCCCCATCGTACATAGCTGGCCATCACACTCCTTGTCCTCTTCCGTTTTAGTTTTTCATGAACGGACACGATTAGATTGATTGATCACAAGTTGACAATTTATTTCACTCACACTCAACTCTATCATCACTCACTTCTGTCTATTCTTTCCAGCATCGGATCACACAATTTGCAAAGTAATTATTACATTTAATTCAAAATTAATATTATCTATATTTTTTTTAATATTTTCTCTGTTTTTTATGTTTAAAAGTTTATATTAAAATTTTTAATAATGTAAATTTTATTCTAAAAAATATTATTTTTTATTATATTTTTGTCTACTGCTAATTAACATCTTACTTATTTATTGTTCTCAACTAAATACACATTTATTATTAAGAATAATGTCAATAAATTAATTATTCAATAACTTTACAAAATAATAAATAAATAAAATTATTAAAATGTAAAAGAAAATAATTTCCTATCTCTTTATGCAACACGGGCAATTTCACCCTATGTATTTGTAAAAGAAAATAAATTCAATATTCCTGAAATATGAACTCTGTTTTTTTCAAAAGCAAATTACCTGAAATATACTACACTAGAGTACAAAAAAATTAGTCGTATTTGCGTCACTTCTATTTTGGTCCGTTTATCATATGATCGATTCATAGCTAATCAGAATAAAGTAAATCCCAAAAAATATAGGTCCTTAAATCAATATTCGCAATTTGATTAAGCTCTTGTTGTTGTGAAATTAGGAGAATAAACAATTATGAGTTTAAAAAGAAGGCATCTAAATGGGTTGTGTCAAGTTAGACAGAACACATTGTACGATTGACATAGGCAACTTTAAAGGACTACAATGGAGTGTGTCATAGTTTGATTCGATGGCGATCATTGTAATGGGGTCATCTGTGAGATACAATATGAATCAAAAAGTTTTGGGTGTCCAATGATGAATGCTCATATTCAAAATTGCTGCTGGTGGGTATGTGTCACTCTAAAGAGATAGTGGTTCATCGAGGAGATCCAATGTGGGGGCCGTCGTTCCATGATGGCGTCCACACCCAATTCAATTAGAAAGAAGACCCTTAAATTAATTTAATTAGTAGAGCTTTGGGTCACTACTATAGTAATGAATTCAAACTTAACCATGGAGTCATTATGAATATGTATATTTTTTTCTAAGTTTTTCATGGTGTGACGCAAAAGAGGAATCTCTGTGAGAATCAGAAAGAATCAAAGAGGCATTTGATTGGTGGCTGGAAAATATCCGGCAGCTTCAACCGGGAAAGGGAGTTTTTAAAGTAATCTTATATTATTTGTTGTTTGTTTTAAAATACATGCCATTTTAAAAAATTAGTTTGTTTTAAATTATAATATTAAAAATTTATTATTATATTGAACTACTGTACAACTAATTATTATCCAATGATATTACTATTTTGAACTTTAAAGTGAAATTATGAAAAAAATGCGAAAGTAATAAAACTAAAAAATATATATCAGATTAGTGTGACCACACTAAAATTTTTTTTGATACGAAATGATTCTATATAAAAAAATAGTAGTATTATATTTATGGGAGAAAAAAGGATAAAATATGATTAAAATGATTTAAATATGTAAAAAATAAAGTCATTAGAGCTATTAGTGAAGAAAATAAATTGTATAATTTTTAATCTCAAAAAATATCAAGAAAGATTCTAAAAAATTATTTAAAAAATTATGATGAATAATATTTATAAAAACTTAAATTTTGACTAAATCTAATAATATTGTACTATTTCTAGTCCTTTTTTTATAGGAAATAAAATTGAATATTTTTTATTTTATTTATAAAAAATATATGATATATTTGAGATGAATTAGCTATTAAATTCTTTTTATAATTTTTTACTATTATTAAATGCATCTTTATAAGATAATAATTACATCATTTAATATCATGAGTATTTTTAAAATAAAATTTATATTTATAAAAAATATAATTGAATTAATTATTTTTACCACATGAAATATAATTTATGTAACCAACTTAATACAATGAGATAGAGTTATTACTATTGTTGTTATTGATTTTATTTTTCATAATATATTATATAAAATAAAAAATGAATAAAATAAAATATATATAATTATAATTAAATAAACTTATAATTACATAAGATTAGAAGTGTTTAATAATTTCCACTCTTGTATATAACCTTGAAGTGATAAATAATTATTTTTACATGTACGAAAATGGATCTCTTGTACTGTTTGTTGGAGTGAGTTGTCATTAGTAGGGTAATTAAAACAACTTAATGATGATAAATAAGAAAGTGACAGAGGCATTGATTTTAACCGGTGCTAATTACAGGAAGTTGCTTTCTAGCAGCAAAAGTATCTTTGTTGATTATGACCATTGTATCATTTTCATCCAAATGCCCACAGCACAGGTGAATTGTATTTAGATAATCTGTAATATCCTTGGTGTAGCTAGCACATTACTCAACACTATCATTTAATTTAGATAAATTACACTCTATTTTGAAAACAGGTTTAAATTATACATTTTCTTATTTTAAATTTAGAAGTTGTGTTTTCAATTAAGTTTTAGCCACTAACGACTTTTTTATAAATTAATTTCCTCTTTGCAACTTTTAATGATAACAGCTAATTTGAGCTCTGTATTTTTAATTTAAAACCTTAAAAAAATGAAATTTTAAACACTCTTAACATCAACTTTGAGACATTACAAATATTTCATTTCAAAATTGATAATAAACTGCCTAGGCACCGAATTGATAATGGTTATAAGAGAGTAATAGAAAGGCAAAATTCACTTTTAAGAAAATTATTTATAATTAAAAGGTAAACAAATTAACTATTCTATCAGGAGAGAAGAGTACATTTAAAATAAAGGGATGGCAATGCAATCTTAAATTTTGTTAGGGGACAAATTGTACAATTTTGAAATGTTAAATTTTCATTTAGTTATTTAATGAAAAATCGATCTCTTTATTTTTTTAATCTATACTTCAATTTTTTAATTACTATTAAACCATCTTATATATAAATCAATCTCTTTATTTTTGTCAAAAAATTCTTCAGTTCTTTGTTTTATTTTTAATCACTTTCTGATCAACAAATTCATGTCATGTGGCTTGACTAGTCAAACCATCTACATTAGGAAGAAAATTTAGGTCTAATAAGAACGTATATTATTAATATAACATTTTAATTTTGATTAAAAATAAAATAAATACTAGTAAGTATATTTAAGATGTTAATAAAAAAAATCAGTAAAAACTATTAATGATGTATTTTTAATATACTTTTAACATAATTTTCAATCAAAAATTTACCATCATACTAAACTCATTCAATTCTAAATATATTGTACAGAAAAATTATTGCCAATACACTTTCAAGCACATTATTAACGATTGAAATTTTTTAAAAAATCACAAAATTATGTAACTTTTATTTGATGTTTAATAAATTTCATTCAGTCTCATAATTTTAATAAAATATAATTAATAATAAACAAAATTTTATAAAAATAATTCTAAACAGCTATTCATGCAAAACTTTTGCCATCAACGTTGAAGAACCTGATTGTCATTAATCTTGACAGTACCTCTGAAAGCAAATATAGACAAGTGTCCAATGACCAAAACAAGACGGGCCTGCTCTCCAACAATGTCTGAAACCCATTACAAAAAAAGTTTACTGGGCCAACAAAACATTGTATTATTTATGAGCCCAAAAATTAAAACTGATACGAGAGCCCAAATTATCGATCTGCAGACTGCAAATGAACATTGAGTTTTGGATCTGCAATAATAACCCACGACGAGAAAAAAATCACTTCGTGCATTCAGGGACTTCACCGTCACCGTGTGTACGTAAAAGTTAAAACGCGCTTAAGTGTTCCTCCATTTTTTTTAATCTCTTTTAACTATCACTGTATGTATTTGCACTCTGCACTTGACAATGCACATTTTGAATTATATGAAACTAAACAAAAGGAAGCATGTCGACCAAGATATTTCTTTGTTATGTTTATCATATTCCACTAACTATAATGTACATAATAACAAGAAATGCATTTTTACATTTTTTAAAATTTATTTTATCATTCAATAAATTTTCCAAGTTTCATTAAAAATATTGATCTCATTTCTCATAAAGCGAGTCTTACAAATTTTACACTACTAATAAAAAATATATTTTACAGACTTTATCTTGACGGGTGAAAATTTTTTTATAAAAAAATTATAAACATAATATTAAAACTATCAGCCATAACATTAAAAAATTTATAAGTATTGCAGTTTGTTTTTTTGGAACCAGGATAGTTAGCAACTACGAGTACACACATATGTATGCATATGTATAGATAGATAGAGAAAGAGAGTGATAATATTATTTTATTTAGCCCAATAAAATTAATATTTGTTTACTTTATTTGTGTATTTCCAAAAGAAATAAAATATATTGGAGAGTGACACTGAGTAAGAAACACTCTTCTCTCTCCACACATGCTTAAGCAATATTACCTCACATCTTAAATATAAATAGTTTTAACTACTTTACAAGAATTAAAAAATTCAGTTAATTTTATTAATGATATTAAATTTATTAATAATTTAAATATTTTTAAAAATTTATATTTAAAATTACTGGGATCTATTGCCTTACTTTTTATTTTCAAATTTTTTTCTCCACTAAAAATATTTTTGTAAGAAAATAAATAATATAAGAAACAATATGCAAAAGGTCTTACAAGATGAATGATAACAAATTATTGAAAGAAGCAATCTTTAATATTATATACTAAAATATTTTATTTAAAAAATAAATCATTCCGTAAAGTTACTTTTTTTTATAGTTTGTCAAATGTGTTATATAAAATTTGTATCACCTAAATATTCATTATTTATATATATATATATATATATATATATATAAGTAGACATATTTATTTATTTATTTTATAGAATATAAAATAATAAATATATTTTAAATAAAAATTACATTTATAATATATAATTAATTTTGTATTCGTTTTGAAAAATTAAGTATTTATTTCATATAAATAAAATTAAAAGTAGTGATATAATGTAAGTACCTCTAAAAAGGAAAAGAGTATAATTTTCACTTTAAATATCACATTTTAATATTATATCTAAATATGTATTGAAATTTTGTAAAATCAAAATCATCCAAACTTAATTTAATTTGATTTTAGTAATAGTTATATAATAAGATAATTATATCCTCTAGACTAATTTAAATATTCTAATAAAAAAATTGGCCAACAAAAATTTCGTCTGATAAAAGGGATTAATTTATCACAAAGTAAAATATTATTTTAAATTTAAATTCTCATGAAAAGAAATACACATACTTAGAGCTTGTTTGATTACATTTTCAAAAACTGTTTTCTATTTTTAAAAATATAATATAATATAAATGTTCTTAGTGTTTGATTTTACTTTGATCACAATTGACTTTTGCTGAAAATAAGTATGAAAAAAAAAACAGTTTTTTAAAGATTTTAATCTTAAAGTTAGCTTATCACTTAAATTCAGTTTTTTTTTTAATTTTAATCAACTCAACTAAATTGAAAATTATTTTTTTTATAATTCTAAACATGGGTTAGCACAGATAGTCAATGATTTGAACTAAAAAAAAAAAAACCCACCTTTCTCATTAAATATCTCTTAAAATTTATCTAAAATCTTAGTTACTAAACAAATATCCAATCTAAACAATTGAAAATAAACATTAAAAAAGAAATTAACTTGGTGGGTATCTTAAAATCCACATATTTACAGCAATAGAAAAATCGATTTACAGAGAGGAGAAAGAGGCATATATTGTTGAGTACGCGGTTCGCGGCATAACCCTTTTGCATATGTAGCCGTAATAGTACGCCCCAAAGTAACTGCATCACAAAGTCACTAATTGAAATCCTCTTCAGCCATTTTCCCCCCTCTCTAACACCAATGTCTCCATCAACAGCAAGTGTGACTATCAAGCAATTTTGGTTGGGCTGGTGGGAACCCCCCACACAAAACTCGTATATTCTATTCATTAATCTCATTCTTCACTTGCTAAGTTACCGACATCAATATATATAGTTTCAACCAAAATCTTTTCCTTATCATCTACCTTTTCTTTCAACTATAATTCATTAGTAGTGATAAAATATAATTACAATTTCCAATGATTGTCGGATATACACAACTAGTTGGTAATTCACATAATGTATAGGTTTTTTTAATATTTTTTCAATTATTTATATTACTAAAAATACTACATGTATATAAAAAACATATAATATGATGCATCTTATTATTTATTTTAATAGTTTGAATTTTACAATATCTAATGTTAAATGTTTGTAAATAATTATAAAGGCTTAAATACTAAGCATATTATGTATAAAGATTACGAATGCATTGCTAATATAGAATTGCTCATGGTTTTTAATTATACAAAGAATTAAATATTCATAATTATAAGAGAACGTAAAAAGAATTTAATAGAGATGAAGCTATCAGATCTTTAAAAATGAAGAAAGAAAAAGATTTGAAAAAGAAAAGAAGTTAAGAGTTTAATAGTAAAATGAGAGAATTTAATTATATAAATGATATTATTGTATTTTATATTTTTATTTTTTTAAAATTAATAATTTCAAAATTATTTTTTTATAATTTTTTAAAAAAATTCTCATTTGAAAAATTAATATTTTTTTAAAGTTAGAATTCTAATTATGTAAGAGTATAAGAGGATAAGAGAGAAAAAGTTTCAAGAACAAAAGAACTCAAAAAATTAGCATTTAAAGGTCTTTATAAAGTTTAGAAAAATCTTCTAACCCTTCTCCTCTTAATTAAGTAACTCCTAAATAATGGTTAACCCATCTTAATCCCTCCCTTCTCCTAAACACAATTCCTAAACATAGCTTAAAGCTCTTATTTTGATATTAGTTAATTTTTTATTCTTAAAAAGTAAAAATAATAAAAACAACAAATACGATAATAAATTATCATAAATGGTAAATTGACACTAAAATTTCAAAATAATTACTTATTAATTCAAAATTTTAAAATCAACATGTTTTATATGATTTATCATAGTTAACCTACTGTAGTCAATCAAAATTAATTAACATCTAATTGTTAGCAATCAATAATATAATTCTGACAATGTATATAAAAAATAATATAATTCCGCCCATAGTTTAAGTCAATTAATTAAGATAATTATTTTGACAATAATTCTTGTTATTTGAAGTAAAATATAGTTAATACATGGCTTATTTAAACATATAAAAGTAAATTATTTTTTATGTGAAAAATGGTGAAATAAATTTTCTGCGTGAACCTTAACGACAAAAGGATTATCTTTACTTTTCACATTGAATCCGAAATGGAGAGAACCAAAATACTTTATATGAACGGCAGATCAAGTTTTTGATCATTATAAAATATTTAATTGTAGCCAACAAAAAATGAAGCCCTGTCAATCCTAATTACAGTCCCCAACTTTCCAGATTTAGAAATCACAGTACAAAAGATTTTTTAATCCTTATTTCTACATTTGGATAGCACAACATACATCGAATATACTATTGGGTTTATCGCCTGCAAGTTGGTACGTTTGCTCCCCCTCTATGATCGGTCAATAAGCAATGATACCAATTCTAATTTTAAGTGCATGCACTTGAATATGATCCAATATGTGGACCTCTTGAATATGACTCCTCTATCTAAAACCAAAGACAGGATAATATGTTTATTTACTATATATTGGAAAGAGTACTGAAGATAGGACGTGTTTTTATTTCTTCAAATTATACAAATATTTGTATACAGTTTTTCTTGTAAGTACCTACGTTTGACTTCTTTATATCCGTACTAGATGATAGATATCCTTCGACGTTTTTTAAATAAGCAAATATTTCATTAAAGAATGAGTACAAGAATTACAGAAGAAAAGAAAAATACATCATATAAGCAAATCACCCTTGACCCCTGTTGCACCCAATTATATGATGAAGACAATAAGTCTATCTTACAGGTATGTACATTGCCACTTTCATACGTATGACTTATAAAACCACATATATGAATCAGACCCACCCTCTAATGACCAGGTAATTACTGCAAAATTCTTCAACACCCAATTTGATAATTAACCTTGCCTTCATGCTTTTCATTATCATTTTTGTGAGAAAAAAAAATAAGAACAATTCTTTAGATGTTTTTACTTTTATTTTTTAATTAAAGATGAAATTTTGGTTCAATAATATATGATATTTTAAATATTGACCTTTTATTGAGATAAATATTATTTTAATAATAAAATATTGCTCGTAAAATTTGCCTCATTCCACTCACCCCTCTCCCACTTTTATCATTCAAGATTTCAATTCAAGCGCGAGGAGCATCTATGCATGATGGGAAGCTACATCAAGAAAAATCATTATTACAAATACTGAAATAGTTAGCTTAGTTTGCTTATTTGAATTGTAATCAAAATAATTTAAAAGAGTTTTTTATTATTGTAAAACAAGCTATATTTTCAAACTTAGTTATAATTTCTTTTAAAAGTTAAATTCTTTTTTTCAATATGTTTACACTAGCTAGAACTACAAAAAGAAATAATAATTAGACTTATCAAGTAGTTACGTGGGAAGTATATGTGACATACGAGAATTAGGATTCGTTAACATCATATATTAAATTTATACACTGTATAATATAATAATTTTTTATAAAATATAAGATTGGCCAATTTAATTATTAGTTTAAATTTTTTTATAAGTATATTAATTTTGTAAAATTTCATAAAAAACAAAATTAATTACTACTTTATTGCATTTTTTGTTTTAATAATTATTATATTTTTAAAATATAAGTAAATATCAGATTTTAAATGATATAATTATAAATATTTAAATCTTATAAAATTTGATACATGTAGCCCTGCCCCAGGGTTACATCTGATATCAAGGTTTTTAAGAAAAAGAAAAACAGAAAAGTAAACATTGACGGTCATGGAATAAATTAGAGTTGTTTTGAATTACAAGTGACACAAGAAAGGAATGATGGGAATAAATTAAGCACTGCTATCCCGTCAACTTTTTACCTCTATGATTTTTTTTCCCCTAAAATTCTGTTTGCCATCGTGCAAGCTTATTAGTTCCATCACAACTCTATATAAATTTGTTGACAGGGGTTTAATCAACAGTTCTATTAATTCAAGTTGTATTATTATTATGCAAATTTTTATAGGATAAAGGTTTTATAGAATACTTGGAGAAGTGAAAGATACATAGCCAATACTAAAGGATTGAAGCCATATATCTCTTTTATTGCTTTTTTTAAAAAAAACTTCTCTAATTAAAAAAGAACAACTTAGGTGTTAGTTTGATTATAATCTCTTTTGGTGTTGATTTCTAATAAAATCATAATACATCTTCCTATTAGCCATGAATAACACCCGAACATCATAATAAAATATAAAACATTACTTAAAAAAAATCAACAATAAGGAGAGGAAATATTATTTAAAAAATCAATTTTTTCCCTAATAACACATTAATTTTTCAAATGGAGAGACATGAAAGGATAAAATACGGAAATAAGTGATATTAACGCCACCCCAACACAACCTCATTGTTTTTTACATTTTTATCTGATTTTTTTAGTTACAATTATATTTATCACTTTATTTCCATCGGTGTCTGAGGACAATTTTCTCTAAAATGATTTATACATATTGCTCCTCGTCATTTCCTGCATTCGAATGATCAATTGGAGATAAACTAATTTAGAAGAACTGATCAAGGGGTTGTTCGTCGAAGCTTGAAAGATGGGCCATTGAACGTATCACATATATTCCTTCAAAGATAATTAACAACTCCATTAATTTCCTTGTCCTATCTCTTTCACACAACAAATATGCATGTGCTAGTACTAAAAAAAAGGAATATGAACTTAGTAACGATGTAAAACCAAAACACACAAAATCAATAAATATGCAATGCCTTTTTTTCAATACCTAGCAACACACGTCTTTTTGGCTATTAGAAATCGTTGATGCTCCAAGATGCTTGGTATATATATTAATTCAGATTTTAGATATGCCACATGCAGACAGATAGACATGCACCATAAATAAATAATTAAGAAGAAAAAAGAAGAGAATTTGCAATTGATATCTAAAACTAGCTATAGTACCATACTCTCTGAATGGTTGTGGATCATTGCGGAAACATCACAAACCCAACCTAATTAATTGGTTGGGGACTAAAATCACGACGAAAAGACGAGGATGGACGGAACGAAAAACCTCGTCCTTGTAAATTTCGGCATCGAAACGAAACCCACGTAAGTAGTAATATTCTTATGTGCTGTCTTGAACATATGTCACTACTCCAAATCAATGTTTTGTGGCGGATATATCAAAATCTATGTAGGAATTAATTAAAAAAGGGAAAACAGTGTTAGAGTGCAGTATCACTATTGACAAATTTGACGTTGGTTGAGGCAATTCAATTAAACCTTTTGATTTTATAAAATATGAATTAATTTAAAAATATGTTACAGAACACTCCCTCTAACCCAGTTTGATATCCATCCCAACGCCAAGCTGGCTTACACCAGAATCCTCGACCCTCCACACGCCGCAATTCAGCAACAACTGGTTTGCACTTTGATTCAAGAACTCCTTCTGCAGCCTCCAATTTCGCCCTCAAATTCAGACCCCCATAAATGGCTTCCCTGAATTCCCATAAAATTTCACTCAAGTCACACACATACATACTCAAATCATGCATTCGAGCAATGCAACAAGCAGTAGCAAAGGCTCTGCAGGAACAGAAACAGGTCGTCACGGAGTGTACCGAGGGGTGAGGCGCAGGAGTAGTGGAAAATGGGTGTCTGAAATCCGTGAACCCAAAAAGCCTAATAGAATTTGGTTAGGCACGTTTCCCACGCCTGAAATGGCAGCTGTCGCCTATGACGTCGCAGCGTTTGCTCTTAAGGGTAAAGATGCTGAGCTTAACTTCCCTAATTCCGTTTCTTCCCTTCCTACCCCTGCTTCTCTCTCTGCACGTGACATTCAGGTGGCTGCAGCCAGTGCTGCAGCTGCTGCTGGTGCAGCAAAAGATGCCATGGGCACACAGCCACAGAATAATAATGTTGCTGTTGCAGCCTCACAGGACCAGCATGGAGGGACCAGTGACCACTTTGTCGATGAGGATTTGATCTTTGACATGCCTAATGTTCTTGTCAATATGGCTCAGGGAATGCTGCTTAGTCCTCCTCCTTTTGATTTTGGTGGGGAAGAAAACATGGATGAACAAGAGCCTAACCTGTGGAATTTCCCTTAAGACTAAACCCTTTTTTTTTGTTACTACTATAATATATACATATTGCATGAATAATTAATATGCTTGAAGTATAATAAATAAAATGAAAAAAGAAAAGAAAAGGTGTTCTGTAATATATATTATGGGCGAACTCTCACATCAAGGCTTTTGCTTGGCAGTGACGAAATTAATGTAATGTATGTTAAGTGTCTTGCCTTTTGGTTCTAGTTTGATTTCCCGTGTATAGCTACAGCACTTTCTACGTTGAGGAAGTTTGCTGCTAGGTTGCACCTTGAATTTTGTAGTTTATTTTTCGTGTCATGTGTTAAATAATCTTTCTGGATATATGTGGTATTATTTTCTTGAGTTTGTAGCTTTGCAGGCTCGCGCTCTTTATTCAATCTTTAAAACTCTTAAATCCTGGAATCGAAAGCTGTTTAACAACTCGCTTAATTAAAATCAGATATAGATGCCAACCCAAGTTCTATATCTCACGTAAAAAATCAGTGTATATATTAAAGTTTTGCCCTAATGTTCTAGTATATGTCGTCGAATTCGTTCTGATGAAGCGTTCTTCATTCTCCTCAGGGCTTTGGTTCTAGAGCATGAAATTAAAATTACCTAAAAAACCATGTTATAAATTTGGACAGAGAAATTAGGAGGGGGGAGGGGGTGCAAGTGGCCAACTTTATTATTACTTTGTTGAATGTATGGGTGCTTGGTTTCCTCCTAATTATGTTCCGACCTACTTTTTTTTCTTTTCTTGATATTACAAGAATTTTGTGGGAGGGCTATAAACGAATATGCAGAGATGAAGTTTGTGGTCCACCTTATACCCTTGTTAACTGGTCACTCTCAAGAAGTTGGATGTCTTACACATGGCATTCCAACAGTGGAAAACAGATATTGATTGTGATTCTTAAAAACTCAACTACAGACACAAGAATTTCTTTGTACCATTGATCATATAAAATAGAATGAAACTGTTAATTGACACTTTCAAAGGATTGATCAAGTGAAATAAGATAGGATCTCGTACTTGAGAGGTCAAGTTTGAACTTTCATTGAGTTTTTAAAAATTTTTGAATTTTACAAATTTTCATATCTTTCTAAAATTTTGCTGAACAAAAACTGTTAATTGACACTTCACCTTCCCTTGATAGATATTTGTCTCCCATGTCATGCATGACTGTAAAAATGGCATTAATATAACCTTTGACCATATGCCTGCGCATGATTTTTTTAGCGGATCTCGCAAATCCTGCAAAATTAAAGGTTGTTACTAGATAGTAGACACTGTATGCTGATTTCAACGGCAATTTCATTATTCGATTATAAATAAATTGATACCACAAGTAATATTATGTATGATTATTTCTATTTTTTAATTTTCTTATATATACATTCTCTAAGATATCAAATTAGACAATTTTTTGCTTTTCTATTTTTATTGTTCACAAAATATTCTACCTTCATCAACAGTGGCTTCTAATACTGATTTTGAAAGGCTCACGTCAATTTTAAATAATTTATATCAGTTAATTATTACTTTGCTCTCTCTCTTTTTTGGCCCCTTATTTTTGCCCTACATGAAAGAAATTGTGGTGTTGTTCCGTAAAAAGAAATAGTCAAATGTTATAGGAAACCACAACCAAGGAAAGAAACAAAAATAACAAGTAATATTATAATATAAATTAAGGCTATTCGTATAGGCTATAGCTATATACATGATCCATTAATTGGTTCTAAAACAACTCAGATAATGATAGCAATAGAAAATAAAGAATTATATTATTTTTAAAAAATAAGTAGAATAACTGATCAATAAAATTGTAATTTTTTGTTTATTGATATTTATAATAATTCAAATAATATATCAACTATTCTAATTTTTTAAAAATTAAATAATTATGAGTTTGACTAATTTTGATTTAAAAATAACTGCTTATTTTCTATATTTTAGAAAAAGTGTTTATTTTAAAGCAATTTTCAAACATGTGCCAATACAAATATATTAGAGTTGCGTTGAATTACAAGTAACACATGATGGGAACGGTTCACATCAATTCTAAATCACTTAATTATATGATTATCACGTCAATTCTATGAATAATAGAATGCACATAAAGACAGCTAACAAAAAAATGTCTCTTCTCGATTGAATTTGGGTATTAACAATTTCATTTTTTTGTATTTTCATTCGCCGAATTTTATCGAATAACCTTCCTAAAATTATTATAGATATAACTTCTTTTTATTACTTTTTGTATGGTTCAATCTTATCAGTTATGTGCAGACATATTATTTCTGCCCACTCCCACTAAGAACACTCTATCAATGATAACAATAAAAAAAATACAAGATTATATTGTTTCTTTAAAAAATAAGTAGAACAAATGATAATTTATTTAATATTGAATAAATGTAATATTTTGTTTATTAATATATGATTATATTATAATTTAAATAATATTCAACCAGTGTACTTTTTAAAAATTTAAATAATTATGTTTGATTAATTTTTAAAAAAAATAACTGTTTGTTTTCTATAATTTTTAAAACAGTACTTAATTTTCATACACAACAAAACATTTTTTAACATGTGCTAATACGAATAACGCATTGCATGAATTACAAATCATGCATCGCGGTCTGTGTTGGTACTTGTACTAAATCATTAGAGTTTTCGTTTAAGATGGTCCTAAATAATTAGTATTGTTTATATTTATTTATTAATCATTAGAATTAAATATGTTTTTAAATATATATTTTTGTAAAATTCTAATTTTAGTGTTAATATATTTTTTGTTTTGGTTTTCAATTTTTTCAATTCGTTATTTTTTATATTAATAACTATTAAACGGTAATATGACTATTAAAGAAGTTATTATCAATTTTTTATGAGATTATGCAGTAATATTAGAAGGATTAAAAGTTTTGAATTTTAAAAAAATATTTTTAAAAATAACAGATAAAAATTAAAAATTATAAAGTACACAAGTCAATAATTTTTAATGAATTATTGGACAAACGGGATTAGAAAAACTTTCTTACCACATGAAAGACTATAAATTATTTATTGTTTATATATATATATATATATATATATATATATATATATAATTGGTTAAGACTAGAATTTAGTTAAAGTCACAGGATAAATTCTAAAAGTTATATAGTTGACTTTTTTTTCTCTCCACACGATTTTACTTAACAAAATTGGAAGACTGAAAAAATGGAAATATGAGTTTAGAAGTGAAGCATCAGACATCAGGACTCGGAGAAGAAAGATAATAGGAGAATAAAACGGCATATTTATACTAAACATATTTATACTAAAAAGTCATGATATAATTTTTACTTAAAATCCTTATGTCAACCCAGTAACCAAGTAAAGGTCATCATTAATTTGGATCAATATTGGAAATGGAGTTAGTGCATCAACTTAAAACCTTGAGAATATCTTTTGTTGTATGTTATCTCATCTTCTCTGTAGAATAAACAGCGGAAAATGGAAAGTAATTGTCGCAGTCAAAAGATGTGATTATTAGGTAATAAGCAATGGTTTAAGCACCAACGAAAGGTTAATTGTCGCCCTTCAATTATTGACTATGGTTATGATTATGTGTGCTTTTCCATTCATGGCTGCGAATGACAAGTTTCTTTTCTTAGATTTGTACAACCCATTTTACAACTGTCTCATAACACCAAAACCACTTAATTATTTAGTGCTAAAATATTTGCTACAGTAAACTCGTTTCTTCTGATTAAATAGCCCCTAGTTTCGGGAGATGTCTATCCTAAATCATTTTCTTCTTATTGCTGTCAAGAAAATAACTCAATCATACCAGACTCCCACTTTTCCTTCTTCCGATTATTTCATCATAAATATTTATCTCACTTTTTAAGATTGATTTAAGTAATTTAAAATAATAAATTTTATTTAAAAATTATTACATAAAAAATATTTAAAATTAATTATCGCCCTTCAATTATTAACAAAATTCTCGAACTATTCTAGAGTTCTTTGTAGGGAATTTTTTTTTTTCAAGAAATGGCCCACCGGAATGGTGAATCCGAAGGGAGCCAACCAAGTGTACTAGAGAATAAAAAAATAAATAAAGAGAGAAACAACTGTGCAAATTAAACCTTAATACCTTTGAGTTCTATAAAATTTAGAATTATATTTTTTTATACAATAGTTTGTATAATGCCATTTTTTTTTTCATTTAGTTTTCTTATCACATTAATCATTTTGGATAGAGGATCCTGAAGTAAAGAAGCAGAGCTAGCTCTCCTTGAAGTACTTGCAATATGATATCTACTCACTAATTTAACGATCCAATGTCAGAAAAAAAAAAGCAGGGAATTTATCTACTAATGAATTTAGGACTATGAAAAAACAGAGAGAAACAATTGTGAAACTAATCCTTAATAGATTTTCTATGTTGTACAGCCTTTATAATTATATTTTTCATGAAATATTTTGTATAATATGATTTTTTTGTGTCACATTAGTCATTTTGGATTGAGGATCCTTGAAGTATAGGATGAAAGGGATGAATAATTTCTACTAAAGACACGATTGGGCTGGTTGACAAGGGAGCTCCTTTTTTTCTCGGAAATTTGAAAAAGTACAAAAACAAAACCAAGATGGACCCAAGTGAACCTTCTCCCACTATAATTACAAGTAAGCATATGGACCCAAAAAGATATGAACTTTTTTGAGCTTCCTCATTGACCCATAAACTGTTTGAAGCCCGATATATTTGCAAAATTTTGAAACCACGTGGCAGGCCAAAAAAGATCACGTGCATATTATACTTGACCCGAAAAATGGTGGCTTAGTTTAAGTTGAGACGAACACAGCGTATGATTTTAATCATGACTTGGTTATAATCACCTAAAATCTAATTGATACTAATTTTTATTTTTTATAAATAAAATATATATTATTAAAGAAAGTTTAAGGAAAACTTAAAAAAAAAAAAAAAAAACTCGTAATTTATTGTGGTATTGAT